CTACATGGCCAGCGGAAAAGGGCGGACACCAGCAGCGACAGACCTGGAAGACAAATGAATAGAAATGCTACATGGCCAGCGGAAAAGGGCGGACACCAGCAGTGACACAAAGGGCGGACACATCTTAAGAAAGAATTGAGAACGCCTAACAGTAAACTGTTTGGCGAACAAAAAAGAAAGATAAAAGTGCTGAGTACATTCTGCCCTGATAGTCAGTACATTCTTTCAGCGACCGTCTTGATTGCTGTGCCCGCAGTGCACCAACGGGCGGAAAGCTGGCGGGATCCCTTTGATTCTGCAAGCAAGAAGCCGGCGCATGCATCTTGCTTAGATCCAACCCAGTTGCAGCACTTGTTGAAACGATCTTTGAGCCAAACCATGGCCCGCACATCGCTTGGCTTGACAACACAAATATTGTCTGATAATCTGAGACTGTTCATTCCTACGTCCAAGAGAAAATTCTGTAACCACCATCGACCCAAAAGATCCACACTACTCTGTGCAAACCTCTTCATTCAAGTACTTTGGTGGACTATTTTGGACACGGAACAGCTTTGACAGATCAAATGGCCTGCGAAGGAAACAAAGAGATTTTGCAAATGAAATCTGAGCTCTCCCAGGTCTGCCATGCTCTTCCACTCTGGGCCTATCTGTCGATTATACAGACCCTGTCTTCCCTTATTCAGGAACCTTACTCTGAAAATCCTTTTGCACCAGTTTAACGTGTTCAAAGAGCATCACTATGAACAACCAGAAACGACAAAATGTTTAGAGTTCACCAGCAACCTACCTGAGGCATCTCCATCTATCCCACAAAGTCGTCTGCATGTTTGCGCCACATGACAATGCACAGTTGTACCTTTCTTTTGCTGTCAACTCTGCACAGCAACCCATGTGAGGAAGTTGCACACCTCCAGGCCAATGTGCCCGCTCTCTTCGCCAATAGCTTCTCCCTGGCGAGCTCTCAATTTAGCACTCAAGAAGGTTTCGCAGTGAGAAGTTTTATATAAAGCCTCCAACAAACCTAGCCTAGCAATTCTCATTATGTTTGGAGAAAACGGGTTTGTGTCAGCTTGTTGTGGTGAATTCATATGAATTCGATGTAGTGTCTGATCCAAAGCAAAAGTTAGAGTTCACAAATCAAGCGTGGAGCCGCAAGGTTTAGCCTGTTTTGACCCATCAATTATACCTCCTCCGAATTGCCACAATGCCAGTAGACGCTGCAGGACGTGTAAAAATCTATGAGCGCTTCTTCAAGAAAGCTTCCCCTGGCAGAAGAAGCATGAGCTGTCCTGCGTCCAGTTGCTAGGAGCGTGTTTAGTACCAAATAGCCAATAGATATCAATAGATACTAACCTACTAACCAGTAGCTTACCGTCTACCTCTTCCCCGTAGCGTTCACTCACCCCCCCGGGCTAAAACCAACAAGACAATACCTTCAACATGGAGCGCTGGGTGTTCAACGCATGGAAAGTTAGCTCCAGGCAAGACTGCGCTGGTGATTCTGTTTTCGCGACGCCTGAGTAGATCTTTACGGATTTTTTTCAGAAATTTTTAAACACATGCAAAAGACGTTTGGCCTCATCAATAAGCCATGCTCGCAAACATGCTGACGCCATGGCACTACGGCGCTAGTGTCTAGCAACAGAAGCAAGTGTGACCTGTGACACTTGTCTGCACAGCTTGAATGAACAATGACCTGATTAATGTCAAGAAAACAACAATGTTGAAATGGCTCCAAACACAAAATGTGCTTCCTCAGAGATGATAATCTGATAGCCAGCAATTCCATAATCATAAGTTTCAGAAACTCCGATGTCGTTGTCGACCTTGATAAGAAGAAGCTACTAGGGGCTCCTGGCCATACTACTAGGAGCAAGGACGCTACTAGGGTCTCCTGGCAGCTACTGGGAACAAAAGTGTGAGTTTCTCACATCTCTTGCAATCCTCCCACAAGGGTCCAGGGAGTCCAGGGGAGAAAATTATTCGATATGATGACATGATTTGATGCTACCTACTCAACTCTTCATGCTGCTTGCCAGTTTGGCATAAAGAGTCCATATGCATGAATATGTAGCGTTTATGAAAGCAGCTCTGGAAAGGTTGAGATGCTCACACCCTGCAGCCTGTGGCTTCCAATGGCTACACAATACATGTGAGCTTTCATGTCAATGTGTGTCGCGCACGCAAGCAGAAGACCGGTGGTACATGACCACCTGAAAAGCCGGCAACAGGCAGGTTGTTCAACAATAAAGCCCACCAGCGACGGTTCTTCTCTTCTCTTCTGCTTTAATGATGTTCAATGAAGCCAAAAGGATACGTTCTAAGCTTAGGTGGTCACTTTGGTCCCTACGACCAAAGGTGTCCAGAACACAAATCAACCGTTCACTAGGCAGTCAACGGCAAAAACATACGAATTATTCTGGTCCGTTGATCCTCTTCGATCCGCCCAAGTGTCAGTGAATCACAAGCCGCTCTCTATCCATCTCGGTCTCTCTGTCCACTGAATGACACTGGGTGCCGACCGGTGCTGTGGTTGCATTGAGCCGGAGCCGCGGCTGAGGCTCCAAGAGTTGACGAAGGAAGCCTCAGAGTTTTCACTGTTCGGCTGAAGAAGGGGTTCAATGAGATCCAGAATTGACTGGTTTGATCGATTGATGCAAGATTGCCTACTGAATCCCATTTGGGCTGGGATCGTGCATACCAAGGTCCGGGTTCCAGGCACCAACAAATGTCGGAGAGACATTGCGGACGGGAGTCGTCCCCCAAGGGGCAACACCTGGAAGCAGTGAAGCACCTTGAGATGAAATGAACAGCAGTGCAAGCTGCAAACATCCTTATGATGTGTACCACCGTCACGCCAGCTAAAACAGCTACACAATGCCACACAGCCAATGATGGCCTCGCAATCTCTGCCAGGAGTGCAGCCACCTGCCAACACGGACTCTTTTTGATCAGCTAATTGGAAAGAGATTCTTGTGTTGAAGCAAACGAATCGAACAGTACATCCATCAATATCAATTAATATCTGTGCATGCCCTCTCTACTCAGCTCTGTGATTGCCAAAAAGCGTCCTTGTCAGGCATGGGGCCATGTACTTTCTCATCAACAACACGCCAAGGGTTGACAGTGCGTGCATCAAATGACAGCACAAAAAATCATCAAAAGTCCAAGCATCATCTCATGCAGTTAGTTACACTGCAAAACAGGCTGTAGACTCAGAACTGAACCAACCACTCGACGCATCCTTATTCAAACGATCTATAATCTATATCTATGCGCCGACAACCCTCACCGCCTGGCAATTAAGCACAATGGGTGGTTGCATTGCACCAACAACTACCAGTACGTGTTGAAACTCTAGACCTCCAAACTAGGTGCTAGCAATTGTATGTTTTTGGCCCGTGGCCCTGCGGTTACTTGATAATATACAAATATATATGTATATATATATAAATAGGCACCTAGTTATATAATTAAGGCAGAAGTTCGCTCCTAGCTACTTAAGCTTCGAGTAACTGCACGCAGGATAGCTCACCCTTCTTCAAGGAAGCTCCCTCCGCCTGAGGGCAGGGGAAGCTTTCTTGAAGAAGCGCTCGCACCAATGATTTGGTTCCTAGATTTTTAGGAAGCCAGCTTGCAAGTCACCCAGCCCAGTAAACGTCAGCTTGCTGTGCTCCTTCCCACAACAGGCTTCAAAATGCTCGAACTTATCATGGGTGGAGGTGAGAGTATTACAGCAATAAGCAGCTGCCGGTATCATCCCCAAAGCCTTGAAGGCTGTTGCACGTTGAGGATCGATGTGACTCAGACCAGAGACAGGACCTGCATTCCGATGCAAGGGTGGACCACTTTAGCTTCGAAACTGTTTCCACGAGTTACAACTTTGAGGAAGTCATTCCATTCACGCCCTGAAAACTGCCATCTTCCGACCTCCAGCTCAGGTACATTGATACACTCAACTTCGGCCCAGCAAATCACACTCCATCATTGGAGCATCCAAGAAGTCGAAACATGTTGAAACAGAAACATCATGAAAAACACTAAAGTCATGAATGGTTTGTTCAATCTTGGGCAAGAAGTTAACCTTTGAGAAGCGGTGACCTCTTTGTCGAATAAACATGATTCACCAGACTGGTAACGCTACCCGGCCATGCCTGGTAGCAAATGGTGACCCGTGAGCAGTTGGAAGAGCGTCGCCCCTGCCTGGGCAAACTCTTGGTCTTTGTCGTGTGTGACTTGGTCTGACGCATTCTACCTTTCCCAACTGACTACTTTGTGGCGGCTCAACCATGTGTGCACTAAAACTGTTTGGGAGGAAGCTAGCTGAAATAAATGGAGGACGTAATATGAATTCTATGTATATATATAGTATGGGTGTTGATCTAAATTCCTTCATCCGGGACCCGTCACTCTTAGCCAATAAATAGAATTTACTTTAGCCGCCTTTAGCCAAGCTTTCGCCTTCCTGCGTTTCGCCGTGTATGTTGTATGACGGATATCATTTTATCGTGTCAATGGCTTCTTCTGTGCTGGCAGACACGAAATAAACACTTCACTGTTTGTCAGCATTCTACTTAACAGTTGACACCTGTACATCTCTTTTGTTTCTCCTGGGTGTCTGCAAGAACCACAAATTGCAGGAATCACTGTGGTAGCCGGTCGCTCAGACTTACTCACAATGGGCTAGGGGTCAGATGTGGCAGGGTGAACTTTCGCCAATCTTGAGCTGAACTTTCGCCAAACTTTCGCCTTTTGCGGGGCAGAAATCTGTGGCAGAGCCGCGCCCCCAAAGCAGCAGCAGGAGTACTGTAGTAGTAGTAGCAGTAGCAGCAGGAGTAGTAGTAGCACCAGCAGCAGCAGTAGAAGTAGTAGCAGCAGCAGTAGTAGCCGCAGCAGTAGTAGCAGAAGCAGCAGAAAGAACATCTTTAGCCATATCTTTCGAAAAAAAAAAATAAAATATATACTTTCGCCAACTCGAAACATATTTCGCAAAATGATATCCTGACATGTTCCAGGTTCCAGGGTCATCGTCATCAACAGTCCCTATTAGGACCTTTGATCGACAACCATATAGATCTCCTTGGCACGAATAAGACTGGACGGGAGCTTATTGAATAGAACTGCACCTGAAATCATGAGATCCGGAAATGCAACGCTGCGCATGGCATTTGATATTTCCATTGCATGGATGTTTTCCTTGCGAACACCTCACCTCTCCTTCAGAGCTGTTCAATGGAATTTGCCTTTCCTTCACAACATTCGTTCGCTGAATTAAGGGATCCTAGGGCCCCTGCACTCCACAGGTCGACAGCTTGAGACCTCAGTTGACTCAGCTCCAAGCACTCCAAGAGCTCATGGTTCTTTCACTGCAAGCAAT